TGGGCTTTAATCTTAAGTAAACAAGGTATAACGATACTGGTCTCTTGCTGCAGCCTAACATTCCTGAAATAAACAGCATCTAATTGATTTTAATGAACGAAGGATCAGCCATTTTGTTACAGCAGTAAACTTTTACAACAAGCCTCAGATAATCGTCTTTGAGCCAGACAAGGGGTTAAGAGACAGAAAATAGAACCTGACAATTGGCGCTGAGCCTTGCCAATGGTTCATTTGATTCAGAACACTTTCTGGAATACAGCTGAATAGTTTGGCCAACATAATAGAAGACATTTTAGACTTTTTTTTTTTCTGTTTGAGAACATTGGTGTTCTCTTTTCGAAAGAGAGAGATTTATGTCTATTGAGGGAGACCTATATTACTAGCATAGTAAAACAGTCAGTCAATATGTTGTAAAATATACCAGTTAATGGCTGAAATATTAGTTAGATGAAAAAGGCAGCCAAGCCGAGCATGATGGAAGCGTGATTATAAATCTCTGGTTAATACATTAACTGAGGGGAAGCAGACTGGCTTTGTATATTTACTTTTCATTGCCTACTGAAGCTGCAGTGAATGATGAGCACAGTGTAAGTTTTATGAGACTTCCCTTAATGAATAATTGCTTTAAATTTATTACACAGGTGAAGAAATAGAGGAACCCAAGCTAAGCCTGTGATAGCTAAAGATAGGCAACCGTCAATGGGAAAGTCTTGAAAAAGTTGAAAGCAAAAGGAAAAGATAAAACTGAACTGCATTCAAACATGTTTTTAGAATGTGATGATGGATGTTGGTATGGTAGAAGAAGATCATTCATTGTGAGCAGATTCCTTGACAATAAAAACATTTTATTAATGTATAAAGATGTTCTTGGAAATGTATGGCCCACTCAGGTATGTGTTGTGTCATTGTTCCCACTGATATTAAAGTCAATCAAGGTCTTCCGCTTTTAACATCACACCTGAACAATGTTTCCAGCCAATTACCCAACATGAAGAACCCATGGAAGCATGGTTATGCCAATAGGCAGAGTAGACCTGTGCCTATAGGTTGTAGAGGCCTGTAGACAACTTTCTATTTTTTTTCCAGTATTGCCCAAAGATTACCCAGTCTGGAGAGAGCTACCAGGCCTTGAACGTTATCTTCTATTCAGGTTACATATGAGAAATCTTGAGTGAACTCTGGATTGATGCAACATATTAATTCTTCTATATCCTTTTGCCACTTAAGCATTGACAGTTGGTTGTTTTTTCTTAGACTAAAATATAGTTTTAGTACACATTATTACCCTTCCCCTTTCTATTGGAACAAATGGTGATTCTTCCATGTATGTGGTGGAGAGACTGTGATGTGCCTGGTGGCTAGCGCAGCAGAAGTGTGTGGACACATAACTAAAACACTTAGAGGTTGGTGGTGGGCGCTGCCATTTATAGGATGACAACTCATGGGGCCCCCGGGCAATGTACTATCAAAAAAGCCTTTACCAGGGGCTTGTTGTAAACCTCAGACATGAAATACATACAAATCATATCACTCTGTAATATATACTTGTTTCAATTAAATGAGAAGTACAGCCAAAGCTTGTTTCGCAGTACTTTTTCTGTGGATCACAAGAGTGCAGCTCGTTCTGTGACCTGGGCTAAAGTCAGCTATCAGCTGAACATCACTCAGCCGGTCCAGACTGCTGAAAGATACTGGCTTTGAAGTCAGAATCCACCTAGATCCATGGACCAGCACCTGGCTCAGCATGGGGGGCAGAGCAGAGAGGGCTGCCCACAGAGCACTGAGAACTGAGCGCAGTCTTTGATCGCTCAGTTCTCAGCATTAGAACAGGCAGGGGACAGATGCGGCATTCGACTGATGCTGCAATCACCTAGGTAAGTATATTTTCTAAACCCCCCCCAAAAAAAACCAAACCTAAACTTCTCTTTTAAGATCACTAAGTGTCATTTCTGTCTGCTTCTTCATTCCTCTGCTGTCAGCATGAATCACTTCTGACAAGTTTTCCTGGCACCAAGAGAAAAAAAATGATAAGGGAAGGAACTCCAGCTGATTGGTAGTCTCAGTTCTGTTTCTGTGCGCTATGTAAAGGGAGAGGGGGGTGTACCTTCCCTCCAATTAGCAATCAGAACTCTCCTCACAGCTCTTCAGAGTGTGCTTTCAGCTCTACATCCCTTTTTTTTTTACAGGTCAGACAAGCTTTATAAATTATGCACTTTGAACAGCTGTAGAGAAGGTCCTTAAAGTGGTTGTAAACAAAATATAAAAAAAATTACTTTTTGCCATAAATTAATATTATTTTAATGTAAACATACATACAGCAGCTGTAAGTGTACCTAAGAAAAATGCTTCCTTAGCTTGTCTCAGCTATCAAAAAAACTGCTGGTCTGTGGGTGTGGCTTAGGACCAGATAATAGTAGGCGGAGAAGTGATGTCACACAATCCCTCTGTTATACACACCCTCCAGCCTAGGCTCAAAAACTCTGTAAACAGCAATTCACTAGGTGCTAGGTGCTGTGAATAGAGCAGGATAATAATCAGCTGTCAGCAGACTTACCTAGATAACTACAGAATTACTGAAGTGATGCCGATCTATATATAAATCACTGCTGCTGAGTTCTCGATCTTGTGAAGGCAGAGACCAGCAGGGAGAGGACACCCGCACCCCACCCCTTTGCAGTGTATTACATGGAGGCTCATGCTGATCTCGTCTTCAGCACAGCCTTCTCACAGGAGAAGGGGAATGGTGACACCATTTTTTCTGTTGTGTCTGTTTTTTTCTGCAGAAGGCAGGAGGGTATTTCTGGAGAAGGGGATTGCTTCAAGATACCAAACTAAGCTCAAATGCTTAGTAAAGGTAAAATCTATTCAACTGTAGGAGTAGATTGATTTGTGTTTTTTAGGTTTACAACATCAGACATGAAATATAAACAAAGCATATTCCTCTGTAGTGTGTACGTGTCCTCAATCTAGAGCATTAGGTGTCATTTCCTGACACCAAGAGAAGAATGTCCACTGCCTCATTCTCTTTGCTATTTAATCGGCTATCAGCATGGGTCACTTTTGATAAGTTTTCCTGACACCAAGAGAAGAATGGTGACAGAGAGAAAAAAGGTAACGGGAGGGTTCTCCAGCAGATTGACAGCCTCAGCTCTGTTCCTGTGAGCTGTGTGTAGGGGGTGTGTCCCTTCCCTCCAATCAGCTCTCAGAGCTCTCCTTACTGAGCTCTGCAGAGTATAATTAAAGTTTTTTGACCCTTTGACAACTTTTATAAATGCTGCTCTTTGAATGGATGTAGAGAAGAGAGTATTACAGATAATCAGATACAACTTATGTAGGAAGATTTGTTTCATCTATGTGTATCACTTGAGGATAGTCACTTCAGGGTTTATAACCATTTTAAGAAATCATTGTAAAGTCAGTGTGTTCATACTTTTTCTTTTGGAGAAGTTAAACTATATTAATAGCCAGTTTATAGCTGAGTTCATTAGTCCATTTTAAAGAACAACTTCAGGCACCAAGTAAAGTCAATCAATGAACTGCTACAACTGTGGAGAACAACTCCCAAGAGGATAAAGATGTTCTGCAGTCCTGGGCAGAGTAAAGCAATTACACCTGTAAAATTCTTTATCTGCCATTTGTGCTACTAATGTGTATCTTTGGGGTCAAACATGTACAGTACATTACAATGCACCCACTCTCAGCACCACATACTTCGCTTCCCTTCATTCCTCCTTAATAGTGAACCTTTTGCTTTGATGTATTTTGCAGCTACAGGTACTTTGATCAAAAACTGGTGCCCTTTGTTCTATCTTTGAAAATTCAGGGGTTGATTTACTAAAACTGGAGAGTGCAAAATCTGGTGCAGCTGTTCATGGTAGCCAATCATCTAACTTCAGAGTGTTCAATTAAAGGATAAGTTCACCTTTTGAACAAAAATAATAAATGCACATTTTTTTTTGCAGGTAATTTTTTTTTTTAAATTTATTATTTTTGTTCAAAGGAGCCTGTAAAGCATCGCACCAGCGATCAGTAGATTTCTGATGCCATGCAGGTCTCCTGCAGACCTATCAGAAATCTGTTTGCTGTACAGGCATGTACGACCAAGCAGATATTCTACCAGAAAGCTTTAATGTAGTTCAAACTACAGGCCAACAGCTGCCAGGACTTGTAGGCACTCATTCACAGAACTCTGTGAATGAATGAAGGGCAGCACAGCACAGTGACTAAATGGTTAGCACTTCCACCTGGCAGTACTAGGGTCATTGGTTCAAATCCCAACCATGGCACCACCTGCCTGGAGTTTGTATGTTCTCCCTGTGCCTGTGTGGGTTTCCTCCCACACTCCAAAGACATGCCAGTAGGTTAATTAGATCCTGTCTAAATTACCCCCAGTATGTATATGTATGAATGTAAGTTAGGGATTTTAGAATGTACACCCCTTGAGGGTTAGGGACTGATGTGAATGTACAATATATATGTGTAAAGCGCTCTGTAAATTGATGGTGCTATATAAGTATCTGGAATAAATAAAAAATAAATGAAGTGGATGTGTAGGTTGGGAGCCCTGCATGGCCGTTCTGTTTTCAAATCTGACAGAGATAGTATGGGGAAACCCCATACTATCTGGCGGTGGGCGCGGCACTGGGAACATGTTCCAAAGGTGAACTTATTGTTTAAGATTTTAACTGTCTCCCACCCACCATATAAGGAAATGATGGAAGGGCGGCGGTTCTTTCATTCTGGGAGGGCATCATATGATGCCTTCCCACTCTATCTGCACATGCGCGCCCCGGCGATCAGTGGTGTGCTGTGTCCATGGGACACAGAAGATCACCGATCGCATTAAAGAGCTTATGACGTAGGCTCTGTCATGTGATCAGCTGTTTCTAATCACAGCTGATCACATATAAATAGGAAATGCTGGTTATCACTGACAGTGCGTGAGGAGAGGAGAGCAGGTAAGCAGCATTCCTTAGAGGGAACATGTACACTGGTCATCAGGACACTTATCATCAGTACCCTAATTATCAGTGTAGCCCTATCAGTACCACCTGTCAGTGCCCATATTTGCCACCTGTCAGTTCCCATCAATGCCACATACCAGTGCCCATCAGTGCACATCAATGACACATATCAGTGCCCATCAGAGTTGCCTTTTAGTGCCAAATATCAATGCCAGTAAGTGCTGCCTAACAGTGCAGATCAGTTCCGCCAGTCAGTGCCACCTATCATTGCCAGTCAGTGCTGCCTTTTAGTGTTCATCAGTGCTGCCCATCAGAGCCGCCTAACAGTTCCAATCAGTGCCAGTCAGTGCCACCTATCAGTGCTATATATGAGGCCTGCCTTTCAGTGCCCATCAGTGATGTCAGTCAATGCCCAACAGTGATGCCTGTCAATGCCCATCAGTGCCTCCTCATCATGCCGCCTATCAGTGCCCATCAGTGCAGCCTCATTAGCGCACATCAGTGAAGGAGAAACATTACTTATTGACAAACGTTTATAACAGAAACTAAGAAAAAACGTTTTTTGTTCAACATTTTCAGTCTCTTTTAGTTTGTTTAGCAAAAAAAAAAAAAAAAAAAACCCAGTGGTGATTAAATACCACCAAAAGAAAGCTCTCTCTGGGGCAGGGGTGGACTTATCATTTGGAAATTCGGGCACTGCCCGAGGGCCCGGGGTCAGTAGGGGGCCCCATGAGATGCCCCTGGTACCTTTTTCATAGGCTTTTTTTAGTTTGGGCAAGGACACAGGGGCCCCATGATCCCCTATTGCCCGGGGGCCCCATGAGTTTTCAGTCTGCCCCTGGTCTGGGGTAAATAAAATGCTTAATGTTTTGTTTGGGTACAGTGTTGCATGACTGCGCAAATGTCATGAGACAGCGCTGAAAGCTGAAAATTGGCCTGGGTAGGAAGGGGGTAAAGGTGCCCAGTAGGCAAGTGGTTAAAGAAAACCTGGAAGCTGATTGGTTTCTATTCAGAGCTGCACCACATTTTGCACTCTCCAGTCTTGGTAAATCAACCCCTTAGGGTCTAGTAGTTATTAGAGAACAACCCCCAATCCAGAATTTTTGGGTCACATGAAACCATTCATTTGGGACTATGTAAATTTATTCTACAAATATTAGATCATTTTCCAATTCAGAGATCTCATCAAGTGTCTAATGACCCCTTAAATGTCAAGAGAAAATTTTAAAGATGGACAATTCTTCCGACTAGAGTCATTGCAATCACTGCAAAAGAATAAAATTCCCCTGGTGGGTAATAAAAGGGTTAAGATATTTCTGCTGTTTCACCAGGGTGATCATCGGTAAAGAAAATAAAAAAAACAGCACATTTCAGAGCCATTTTAAAATATTAGCTGTCTATGATCACTTGCCTAGTACACTGCTGACTGCCTAGAAGGTTAACACACAAAGAAAATGTTTTGAACAAATATCACACCGTATTTCCATACAATGCCCATTGTATCTGTCTGATTTATGTCTATAAGCAAAGTCAATGGAAAGTCACAGATTTTTAGTATTCACAGGTACATTCCCGAGATGAGTATTACACTCTGTCCTGCTTCTTTGATGTAACGGTTCCCTGAAATTGGTGCGAATATAAATCCTTTCTTCAATCTTATTTACATAGACAGAAGTTATGTAGTGACAAGGTCCCTTCAAGGCTTGAATGGTTTCTTAATAACATGTACTAAATGGCATCTGGTATCAATCTTGTCCTGTAGACATGCCTGTAGTGATTTAAAGCTTTCACTTCTCGAATTCAAACTCTCATTTTTAATGCACTTTCTGTCATCTGTCTTCACAGCCCTAAAATGAGATTCTGTCACTTTGTGACATGCTTTAAGATAAATTGAAAATTAAAAAGGATAAATGAATGTAAAAATAATCATAAATGTTGCACGTGAGCGAGAATTAATATGTTAATTTAATTAAAATAACTGCACACAGATTAAATAAAGTTCTCAATGTTCTTACCATTTGCCTATGTTTATGTTTACATGGAATCAGTAATATTTAGAACGAAGGAAAATGGGAGCATTGCAAGGGATGCTGCTATTTAAATGGAACTAGACTTTTTACAATTTTTTTTGAATTATGGAAACATTTATGACGATATACAGTAAACAGAATGATAGCAATTTTTGTTTTTCTAAAACCCTATTCAACAGATTTTATTACCTGTTGATCCTGCCAAAATATCAGTTATTTTCCCAGTTATCCAAATAGGCCAACTTGTCCAGAAGAAGTGGCAGTTGGGGGGCAGGAGAAACGACACTGGCTATGGTACCTACAGTACAGTCAGCTTTTATTATTACGATTTAAACATTTAATACATTTTTAGATGACAAGCTTGAACAACCCCAAAGCATCAATGCGTATATAATAAATGTGATAATGACAGCAGCACTCATTGATATTACACACCAATATCCAAACAACTCATAAGAGATAAGTATTGTGCTGTGACATAAAATTCCACCAAAAAAAAAATCAAAGAAATAAATACATTAATAAATAAATAATAAAGTTCAAGTGTTAACTGATAAAAGTCCACAGTGAATACAAAATATGAAAAAATCCAAATTGCACAAGCCACCATGTGAAGAAAAGAAGCAGCTTACCAGAAGTCTAGACCCCACATTACAAGAGGTCTAAACTCACATTTAGATGATACAGGATCCCACATAGATGGATGGATATTACACACCAATATCCAAACAACTCATAAGAGATAAGTGCTGTGCTGTGACATAAAATTCCACTATTAAAAAAAAAATTAAACAAATAAATACATTAATACATAAATAATAAAGTCCAAGTGTTAACTGATAAAAGTCCACAGTGAATGCAAAATCTTGAAAAATCCAAAGTGCACAAGTCACCATGTGAAGAAAAGAGGCCGCTTACCAGAGGTCTAGACCCCACATTACAAGAGGTCTAAACTCGCATTTAGATGATACAGGATCACAAATAGATGGATGGATATTAACACACCTGTGAATAAAATCCAAAAAAAAATCAAACTCATAAGAGATAAGTGTTGAAAAATGCTGTGACACCAGAAAACATTTCACTATTAAAAAAAAAATCAAACAAACAACTCATAAGAGAGATAAGTGTTGTGCTGTGATAAAATTTCATTCAAATAAATACATTAATGCATAAATAATAAAGTCCAAGTGTTAACTGATAAAAGCCCACAGTGAATACAAAATCTTGAAAAATCCAAAGTGCACAAGTCACCATGTGAAGAAAAGAGGCGACTTACCAGAGGTCTAGACCCCACATTACAAGAGGTCTAAACTCGCATTTAGATGATACAGGATCCCACATAGATGGATGGATATTACACACCAATATCCAAACAACTCATAAGAGATAAGCGCTGTGCTGTGACATAAAATTCCACTATTAAAAAAAAATCAAACAAATAAATACATTAATACATAAACAATAAAGTCCAAGTGTTAACTGATAAAAGTCCACAGTGAATACAAAATCTTGAAAAATCCAAAGTGCACAAGTCACCATGTGAAGAAAAGAGGCCGCTTACCAGAGGTCTACAAGACCCCACATTACAAGAGGTCTAAACTCGCATTCAGGGGCTGTGGACTGACCATTTGGAAACTCGGGCACTGCCCGAGGGCCCGGGTTCAGTAGGGGGCCCCCGTGAGATGCCCCTGGTACCTTTTTCATAGGCTTTTTTGAGTTTGGGCAAGGACACAGGGGCCCCATGATCCCCTATTGCCCGGGGGCCCCATGAGTTGTCAGTCCGCCCCTGCTCGCATTTAGATGATACAGGATCCCACATAGATGGAGGGATGGCTTCAATCTGCTTAACCGCTCCATTGACAATGCCTCAGATCCCTCTCATAAACATAATATGTCACAGGATGATCTCAGAATTGTTCACTAAAACCAATCTCACCACCATGAGTACATACCAAGGGAAGAATAATAGTATCCCATAGTAAAGTAATATATATAAATTTTATTAAAAGACAAAATAGAAGTAATCACAGGCAAAAGAAAATTAAGAGCATAAAACCACACCACCAGTACTCCAAGCAGGCGTAATGACGTCGCCACTGTTCTCAGCCCAATCTAACTATGTATGTCAAAGTTTAAAACATTGTTCCAAAAGAAAAAAAAACAAAAATGTTGTTATAATTGCATAAAAAGTGTGATCTAGAGTTGGGCTTTATTTTGTACAGGAGTGCAGAGTAGCACAGGTGCCTGTAAGTCTTGCTAGCAGTAGAATGGGTGTGCACACTGGGCAGGTGAAGTTGTCAGGGGTCTTCAGTAAGGCAGGCCGACTGGCAGGCAGCTGGGCAGCAGACTGACGACTGGCACAGGTACATGTGCCCAATTTCTGTGAGCACGAGAGGTAACATGTATTAGCCTGTGCACAGAAGTCTGTCCAGAAAAGCCATCTTGTCTATTGACATGCCCTTCCTAACACATCCCTCTAACTTCCTACATTGCTGGACAACATGGTCTGTTAAGGAATTAAAACAAAACAACAGTTTTTTAGCCAGATTAACTACTTCAGCTACAGAAAGTTTTAGCCCCTTCATGACCAGACCATAGAACATGCAAATCAGTGCATAATTTGTTAGACATGCATTTCTTTTGAATTTGTTGTTGCTATTCTGTCTCTCAGTGTTACAATACACCTACCATTCGATTTTTAGATTGATAATTTTTTTGTGAGTGGGCAAACATTCAAAATCAGCAGGGGATCAAATACTTATTTCATTCACAGTAAATTACCTTTGTAGCTCAAACTGCAGACAACTGTGACCTAATATTGGCAAAATCCTTTTAATGTAATACTTCAAGTATGGTGCACAAGTGTGAACAAGAACAATAGGAAAGAATGTGATTCTGTATGTTGAGCATAGTCAGGTGTAAGCAAACACGTTGAAAAAAATTATTGTTATTATTATTATACAGGATTTATATAGCGCCAACAGCTTGTGAAGCACTTTACAAAATGAAGGTAGACATTACAGTTACAATACAATTTGGTATAAGAGGAAACAGAGGGCCCGGCTCGTTAGAGCTTACAATCTAGGAGGAAGGGTTGAGTGATACAAAAGGTAATAGCTGCGGGGGGGATGAGCTGATGGAGGAAATAAATGTCAGTTTACTAGTTAGAAGCAGGATAGGCTTCTTTAAAGAGAAATGTTTTCAGGGATCGGCTAAAGGTGGATAGATTAGGAGATAGCCGGACAGATTGGGGTAGGGAGTTCCAAAGGATGGCAGAAGCTTGGGAGAAGTCCTGGAGGCGAGCATGGGAGGAGGTGACATGGGAACTAGAGAGCAGGAGATCTTGGGAGGATTAAAGAGCGGTTTGGTTGATATTTTGAGACCAGGTTGGTGATGTAGCTGGGGGCAGAGTTGTGGATGGCTTTGTAAGTTGTTGTTAGTATTTTGAATTTTATTTGTTAGGCGAGTGGAAGCCAGTGGAGGGATTGGCAGAGAGGGGTAGCAGA